TATTCTGTAGGCTTTGATTTCTTCATCTGCCAGAACCTGAATTCTCTTCCAACATGGGTCTCTTGTTAAATTTGACTTTCATTAATTAGAATCACCAAGTTGGAATCATTTAGACCAGGGCTGGGGATCTATAGCTCTTTTATGACTTGTGGACTTCAACTTTCAGAATTCTTGAGCCAGCCATGCTGCCTCAGGAATTCTGGGAACTGAAATCCACAAGTCATAAAGGGGCCATAGTTCCCCATCTCTGATTTAGACTATCAGGTCCAACTCTCTGCTCAGTTTGGGAATCCAAATTGAAGCATCCAGAACAGGAAGATATGGAGCCTCCACTGAATAATGTTTTGTGGGGTTGCTGGTTCCACTAAGGAATTGCTCTTAGGAAGTTCTTTCTAAATTTCAGTTAGAATCTACTTTCCTGATTTGCATGACAGAAATCCCCAAGATGCCCTATTCTTCAATAGATATTCCTGAATAAAGTCTGGTGGAACCAATTCCACCAATTGGTTCAATAAAATGAGGTTTCATTCTTTTGACTTCTACTTGGTACTGCACATGTTCTTATAAAATTTCATTCTGATAATGCCAGCTAGTTCTTCAAGATTTCGAATTCTATTTCTTGACTTAATAGCTATCCTACCCAAACTTATTTCTATTTCAAACTTCTTAACCACCCATCTCCCTCAAAGACGTATATACTTGTCATATATAATTTTCATAAATCATTTCCTTCACTTTTTCATTCAAATCATTAATATAATCAAGAGAAAGTCCAGGACTGGTCCTTGTGGTATTTACTTAATACCCTTCTCCAATTTGATGACGTTCCATTGATTGATTACTATTTAAATACAATTTTTAAACAGCTGTGTATCCACTTAACTGTCTTACTGTATCCAAACTAGCCTCCATTACTGATGCAGTCGTAAAACACAGCATCAGGTGACCACACTGCTTGCAACTCCAGCAGTCCCTGCTTGTCATCGTTGTATAAACAGAGGCATAGAATCAAGATCACGTGAAGTATTAGTACCGCTTTATAAAACCCTAATAAGACCATACCTGGAATACTGCAACCAATTTTGGTCACCATTGTACAAAAAAGATTGTTGAGAGATTGGAAAAAGTTCAGAGAAGAGCAACTAAGATGATCCAAGGCCTGGAGACTAAAATATATGAAAAATGGCTGCAGGACTTGGGTTTGGCTAGTCTAAAAAGAAGAAATAGGGGTGACATGATAGCAGTATTCCAGTATTTGGGGGGCTGCCACAAAGAAGAGGGGGTCAAACTATTCTCCAAAGCACCAGAGGGCAGGACAAGAAACAATGGTTGGAAACTGACCAAAGAGAGAAGTAACCTGGAATTAAGGAGAAACTTCCTAACAGAGGACAATTAACCAGTGGAACAGCTTGCCTCCAGAAATCGTGGGCGCTCTATCACTGGAGGTTTTTAAGATGAGATTACTAGACAGTCACTTATCTGAGATGGTATAGGTCAGGGGTAGGCAACCCAAAACACTCAAAGAGCCACTTGGATCTGTTTCCCACTGAAAACAAAACACCGGGAGCCGCAAAACCCTTTTGATATCTAAAATGAAGATAACACTGCATATATCCTTTTTTATCTTTATTATAGGTGTGTGTGTGTGTGTGTGTGTGTGTGTGTGTGTGTGTGTGTGTGTGTGTAAAAAGGATATATGCAGGTAAAAAAGGATATATGCAGTGTTATCTTCATTTTAGATGTCAAAAGGATCTCTCTGTCTCTCTCTCTCTCTCTCCCTCCCTCTCTCTCTATCTGCCCTTGGTCTGCCAGTCCTCTTCCCCCACTCTCTTTCTTTCTCTCTCTTTCTCTCCCTCCCTCTCTCCTATCTTCTGCTCACCTGGCAAGCTGACTTCAAGCTGTTCTCCAACAAATTCAGGGGTAGGCAACCTCGGCTCTTTTATGACTCATGGACTTCAACTCCCAGAATGCCTGAGTCAGCATAGCTGGGCTAGCTAGCTCTCTCCTGCCCTTCCTGCTTCCTGCAGAGACGCAGCAAAGGGAGGAGCTCTGCCCAGTAAGCTTTTCAGCTTATTGAAAACAAGAACACTGTGAACACTGTGAGTGCACTCTCTTTTACACACACACACATACACAAACACACACACACACACACACAGAGAGTAAGAGAGAGAAGCAGGGAAGCGCAATTGCCTCTCTCTGCAAATGGCAGAGGAGGCTGGGAGCCACAGGGGAAGGTTCAAAGAGCCGCATGCGGCTCCAGAGCCGCAGGTTGCCGACCTGAGGTATAGGTTCTCCTGCTTGGGCAAGGGACTGGACTAGAAGACCTTCAAGGACCCTTCCAGTTCTATTCTATTCTATTCTATTCTATTTCAAATCGTTAAGCAAAGATCTCGTGCAACTACAACTTCCTGCCAGCTTCCCCATTGATTTTGCTCAGGGGACACTGGAAATCACAATCGTATAATTGCAGCTCACTGCAGTATCATAAATACTGCAAATTGAGTACCATGCACCCAGATCACAATCACATGACCACAGGGACACTGCAACAGTGGGAATTGTGAGGATTGGCTGTGCACTCTTGCAAGTTCAAACAGTACCTGAACAAATGAATTTAAACCAAGGACTACCTGTGCTTAACTAGTTTGTTAATCAAGACCTCATGGGATATTTTGTCAAAGGCTTTGTTGAAATCAAGATATAGCTATAGTATTCTGACGGTCCAGAAAATTAATCAAAAATAAGGTAACATTTAATCTGGGAATTTTGCTTTTTGAAGGCTGGGACATTAGTTTTCCTCCAATTTCCTAATATTTCACTTTAAAGACATTCTTTAATGATTCAAACTGACGCAATTCTGATCCAGATAATTACATTAATTAAACAAGTATTTTCTGATCAGATTTCTGTCAGTTGCAAACTTCAGTTCTGGCCTTGTTTATCACAATTTTATGATGAAACACATTTTTTTTAGTTGATGACTAATTAGCTTTTGTCATTTCTTTCAAACCTGTTAAAACATTTTGCTTTCATTGAGTTGGTATACCAATTTTATTTCAGTTTGAACATATCTAAGGAAGCCCTTTATTTTAGTATCCTTTACTAACTTTAGCACATTCTGATAATTATTGTATTTACATGAGCTCTGCAGTTCTATATTACCTGTCTATTTATTGTGACTTGGGATTCTTGCATTTTCCGACATGTGCTTTAAAAAAAATCTGGCAACTTCAACAGTCTACTTATCAGTACCACCACCCATTTTACTTTTTGCAACTGTTTTTTTTTAAATATCCATTAGAAATGTCCATCCACCTTCAGCTCCCTTTCCTATTACCTGATCCACGTGGCATCTAATGAATACTTGGAGTGCCTACAATCCAGTTCTTGACATTCCAAGATGTGATTAGTTTTGGATTCTTTTCAAATCAAGAACTCCAGCATTAACACAGTGACTCGTCCATAATGTTCCTGCTCCTCCCATGTCCTCTCCAGTATAGCTGATCCAATTGTGCCTTCCTCCAACATCTTTCAAAGGGGAGAACTGTCAGCAAGCATGGCAAATTCTTCCTGGAAGGACCATGTTTTGCAGAATTTCTCTCAACAGATTTAAGGGTACAGTTTCCTATCACTAGGACTTCATCTTGCTTGTCAGTTTGCTTTTGAAAGGCATTGTATTTATTTTCTGATACAATTGGTCCTCAACTTAAAACAGTTCATTTAGTGACCGTTCAAAGTTACAACAGCACTGAAAAAGTGACTTATGACCATTTTTCACACATCGGTTGCAGTGTCTCCATGGTCATGTGATCAAAGTTCAGGCGCTTGGCAACTGATTCATATTTATGACGGTTGCAGTGTCCTGGGGTCACATGGTCACCTTTTGTGACTTTCTGACCAGGAAAGTCAATGGGGGAGCCAAATTCACTTAACAAACATGTTGCTAAACAACTGCAGTGATTCACTGAACAACTATGGGAAGAAAGGTTGTAAAATGGGGCAAAACTCACTTAACAAATGACAGAAATGTTGGGCTCAAATATGGATGTAAGCCAAGGACTACCTGTAGGTTCGATGGACAATGGTATCTCAAAATGGACGAAAATGTTAAAAACGTGTGACATCGTTCTAAACAAATGTGATGGAAAGCAGTTCAGGATGCTTGCATGCAAATCACCTGTATACTTTAGAAAAAATAAAATCCCATTTTAATAACATTCCATTTTCCTTCACCCTTTTTAGGAAGGAATTTTTACTTCAAATTTATTTATGAAACACTAATATTCTACACTATCTGCCATTTTAATGCAGAAGCGCCACTTAAGAATATGAGGGTTCGTTCTCCAAGCTTGTGGGTTGGTTTCTAAACATTTCGTTACCAGGCTAGGTAACATCTTCAGCAGAGTTTAGGGTAGGGGTAAGCAACCTTGGCTCTTTTATGACTCATGGACTTCAACTCCCAGAATTCCTGAGCCAGCATGGCTCAGCTTGGAAACCTCTCCCTTTCCCCTCAGCATGGCTGGCTGAGGAATTCTGGGAGTTGAAGTCCATGAGTCATAAAAGAGCCAAGGTTGCCTACCCCTGGTTTAGGGGATGTCAGTGCCAGCATTCTTGTCTTTATAAGGGCTTCAGGTGTGGGTGTGTCAAGACCCTCACTTGACATACCCACACCTGAAGCCCTTAGACACAGAAAAACACTGACATCCCCTAAACCAGTGATGGTGAATCTTTTAGAGACTGAGTGCCCAAACTGCAACCCAAAACCCACTTATGTATCATCGGATGATGGGTGGGAGTGGCCCACTAAGTGGGCGTGGCTTCAGTGGTAACAGCAGACTGGATGGGACTAAAAAGTTCAATCAATCAATTCCAACTTTGCCGAGATCTTTTTTTCCGAGAAGTTGAAATTGATTGATTGAACCTTTTCTTTTTTTGCACACAGCGGCGGAAGCCTAAAGTGAAAAGGTTTTATAAAACCCAGCTGAAAGCCTAGGACTGGGGCAACGGCACGCGTGCCAACAGAGAGGGCTCTGAGTGCCGCCTCTGGCACCTGTGCCATAGGTTCACCACCAAGGCCCTAAAGGCTGCTGAAGAGGTTACCTAGCCTGGTAACCAAATGTTCGGAAACCGACCCACCTACACCCGAGCTACAGATATTCACCACTATTGCAAACTTAAAAATATATGGATCAAATGAAGGTGTAGGAAACAGCCTTACTACCATTATGGCCAGAAGAAAGATTATGCAACATTTTTAACCCCAAGAGTTTAAAAAAAAAAAAAAGATGTGCCATATAAACCTACAGGTCTGTCTCCACTGGAATACTGCTCAAGGGACTTGGGGGCACTTTTGTAAAATGTGAATGCAGATTCCGGGCAGCATTCGCTGTCACGAACCCAAAAAGTGCCAGTTAACATTCATAGCCTCCAAATTATGAGACTACCTTCAGACTTAACCATTCAAGGTGTGAAATAGATGCACTAATGGAGTTAAAGAAGCAATTAATGTCTATGCCGGTTGCCGTCCTCACCTTTCCTAGAATAAAAATGCCAGTGTCTTAAGAAAATTAAAATAATACATAACTGGGGGGGGGGAGAAGCCCACCATCCATAATAACACGGCAAAGATCCCAACCCGAGAAGAGTACTTAAGAGTGATCTAGCCTGACGAAGAGTTCCAAAGAATTTGCAAAGTTCGTTTTCAAGATTTTGCAGTTTTTCGGTGGTGGGTCGTTCCGGAGAGGCTGCCGTTTCAGTCTTTGCAGCCGGTAATCCGACAAACGCTGACGAAGGCGAGAAATCCCTCTTTTACCCCGAGCACGAGTAGCCAAGTCCGTCGCGCTCCTGTAAGAAACGCTCGGAGAAGCGACGCATTCTCGGTACGGCCAAGAGGCGCTACTAGGCCGCGCGGGATGCAAGCCCTGGTTCGCTCTTCCCTCGACGAGGCCATCCTGGACAATCGAGCGCCCTCGGAAGCACCGCCCTGCCCGGGCTTGACGGCGGGTGCTCCTCCTCCTTCCAGGAGGCTCAGCAGGACCGGATATAAGAGCCGCAGCTGCCGGCGCTGCTGCCTGTCCTCTGTGGGAGCTGCGCACCCCAACACGTGGAAGGAAGCCCCCCCCCATGTCTCCGACCACACAAGAGCGGGCTTCGTTGCGTGAGCCTTATTAGTCCGGCCTCTCCACGTGGCCCCAAACTGCCGCGTAAAGAAAGAAGGGGGGGCTTTGCTGCATCGTCAGCTCCCCGTTCTCCAATCTTCGGGCCGGCCCTCCGACGCCGATTTCTTTAACCCTCGCCTAGTTACAAGTCCAACTGTACCAACTGCTACCTCTCTCTCCCTCTCTCTCCCCGCCCCCAACTGTTCCATTTTACGCCAAATAAAAGGGGTGGGGAGGAGGAGGAGGAGAATTTTTGCCAATGCAATCTAATTAATAGCTTGACCGGGAGGAGGGAACAACCCAAGTGAATAAGGTACCGTGTGCGCGCATGCTCTTCCGACCGACTGCACGTGTAAGAAGCGCATTTGGTAAAGGAGGGGGCGATGGAGCGGCAGGATCAGAAGGAAGAAGGAATCTAGCCGGCTGCTTTAAAAGAGGAGGCTTCTTGGACATCCCCCCCTTCCCCACGATTGTGGAGGACGAGGTGGGGGGGAGGAAGGAAGAGGATTCTAGAGGACGGGAGCTTTTTCTCCCTGGATCGCCAGCCAGCAGTTTTGTAAGTGCATCCTCTTCAAAGTTTTTTTTTATTTATTAATGAAAAGGGGGGGTGGAACCTGCGTCAAAAAGCCTCGGCGTAAGGCCGCTCCAAGTTCGGTTTGCAATAATTGGCAACCCTAAAGCCTTCCCCCCCACCACACACACACAAGTTGAGAGTGGGGTGAAATGTGGCGGTGGGGCTTCTGTCGTCTGCGTAGGCCCCAAAGAGCTTGTATTCTATGGCTTTCGAAATGTAAAACTCCAAGGAAGTTGATTCTGGTTTACTTAATGGAGGATAGAAGAGTCGGAGTGGGAGGGGGGAGCAGAAGCGATGATCTGGAGGTGGTTTGTCCTCTCTTCCTCCCTCGCTCTTCTAAATAATGTTTTTTATTTTTTAAAAAAAACTTTTTCATTCCAAAACAAACCCCCTCCGCAAAACGCAGCGTAGCGTGGGGTGATCCAAATACAGTTGGGTTGGTAGCCGCCGGCCTTTTGCCAGTGGGGGGGCAACATTTGTTTCGGAAAGTTGTAATAGCTGCTTCCCTTTCCCCCCCCCCTTCCCTCTTTTGCTGGCCGTGCTTGCTTCCTCTTCCACCTTCACCCGCTTGGGAAGCGAATGTAGAGTTAAGATGGGGGGGGGAGAAGAGGGGAAAAGGAGTGGGGATCCCCCCCTTTTTTTTTCTTTATAAAGTCGCGGTTTTAGAGACGAGCCCTCGTGTCTCCGTCCGCTCTTTTGTTGCATAAATGAGGTGGTGAGTTTTTAGGGCTGTTTCATTTGGCGAAGGGCTTAACCGGGGGTTCACTTTGGACAATGGTGTCCTGTGTTCCAGAGATGGCCCTGGAGAAGAGATCGCGGAGGCAGCTCTCGGGGAGTTTGGAGGGGGGGGGAAGCGGGGGAAGGGCAGGAATCTTAAGGGGACATCGGTGTTTTCTTCTGGCCCTTAATCTGGTTTGCGGCCGGAAAGAATCTGATGTCAAAGTAAAAGTCTTTCCACCCCCACCCCCTAGTCCCGGTCCTGTTCACGTATTATTTTGCCCTCACTTTAAACATGCGTAAAAAGGGGGTGTTGCAAGCTTCCCCCAGGAGTCTGGCCGACCTTGTAGTTCCCCCTTTCTTGCCCCACCCCTTCCTGGATGCTTGTCCCCTCCCTTCCTTCCAGGACGGTTGTGGGTGTTCCTCTCCTAAACCCCTTGCATTTTTTAAATATTCCACTGAAGTTAATAGAATTGCAATGTATTGGAGATAGCACTCTGACAAAACTTTCCTCTCGTTATAGGGGAAATACTCCCATTCCCAGCAAAGTCCACATCTTTTTCAACGTCTTGAAGGACCCCCTAATTTAAGTTTCTAAAATTACAAATGAAACACGTTCTCCTTCCTATATTAAAATAATAAATGGCCACTGAGAAAAGAATTGGCACCAGGGTTTTTCTTGCAGGACATAGCAAAACAGATGCCTCTGATTTAGATGGGGGGGGGGATCATGAAGAGAGTGTTGACAGCCATTCTAGAACATTAAGATATAGTGACGGTGTATCTGAATATTTCATTGGAAGTAAGTCTGACTGCACTCATTTTTATTCCCTGGGAACATAGATTCATTGTTCTGAATCAGTTTAGAAGCCTCTTTAACCATCATTTGCAGGATTTGTTCCCAAATTAACTCAAGTTTCCTCCTGGAGATTTCTCTTAATGCAGAAAAGGTGAATATAAATGGTTGCTAAGCCAACCCAATGTAAAATGAATGAGCAACGTGTGTATGAAAGGTGTGGATGTTTGGGGGGGGTGATACTTGGAATTGGGGGGGAGAACCTAGTAATCATCCAGTGACACATGGAGGCACTTGACAGTGAAATGGGCAGCGTATAAATTTAATAAATAAATGGCAGAGGGTGTTCCGTACCTCCTGAATTTCATAGATTTCCTGTGGGTGGGCTGAGTTGACGGGCAAAATAGTTTGTAGGGTTTTTTAGTAATGTAAGCATTTAGATTTCTTTAAAAAGACAAAAGTATATATGTTGTGTGTTATAACATTGAAGGGCAGTCTGCTGCGCCTAGTTTTTCCATGCTATAACTCATACCTATTAGCCACGGAAGTTGAAGACCATGGTTTTCTCTAGCCATAATACAGTATATTATTAGAGCAATCCCTGGAAGCAAAGTGGTGCCTTCTTGTCTTGCTTGTATACTTTGGAAGAGCATCAGACTGGCCAGAGCTTCTGAGATCACTGAAATTTTGTACTGATCTAGCAAGTCTTTTACGATATGATTGGGGCCATTTGCAGAGGCTAGCAGTAAGCAAATTAAGTCACGTATTAGCCATGATAAATTTCTGTGTTCAGAAGCTGTCTATCTTCGAACACCAGGGGCTGGGGATACAGAAAAGGGAGATGACTTGCTGTAATGCTTTTCATTTAATTGACCACTTTGCAGACTTTTTTGCTCTTGAGTTTGATGTCAGAGGTGCCACTGGACATCCTATTTGGTTTCAGAATTCAATCTTGATTGCATTTTCTTCAGTATAAGAAACCTGTGGGTGTCGTGGTTCCGACAGACAGAGACAAATAAAGCAGAACTCCGAGGCTTGGAAATTCCATTTTCAAAGTTGACAGTGGGTTTTGATGAAATTTAACTTTAGAAATGTGCAAGCCTAGAGTTTGGGAATTAAAGCTAATTTGCATGCAACATCCTTGTATTGGTTTTTCTTTCCGTTCTGAGTTCCTAGATTTCTGTTTTTCATCTGTGGAATTTTATATATGTGGTTAATTGAACCCTGAACTTAATGATTCTTCTCTTTAGCTCAGGGGTTCTCAACCTTGGCAACTTTAAGACTTGTGGACTTCAACTCCCAGAATTCCTCAGCCAGCAAAGCTGGCTGAGGAATTCTGGGAGTTGAAGTCCACAAGTCTTAAAGTTGCCAAGGTTGAGAACCCCTGCTTTAGCTGGTATCATATGCAAAGCCATGTTGCTTGATAAAGATAAACAAAGAAGAGTCAAAATCCTGCAAAATAAATACCTTCTTCCAGAATTGTTAGCAGAGAGACAAAGAAGGAAGATCAAACCCAAAGATTTGGAACAATGTACCTAACCACCAAGGAGATTAGCTTAAAATGGAAACTTGCTGATTTCAGTTAACATTACTTCCTGGGAGAAATGTCCTCCCTAGCTATAACACGATGGTAATATCTGCAGCTCTTATCCGGTGGGAAAGAACTCAAATGATTGAAGCACTGGGTAGATGCCATTTACTGGTCGCCTTCAACTTACCACCACAGTTGGGACCAGAATATCCATTGCTCAGCAGAACCGTTGTTAAATGAGTTGGGCCTGATTTTATGACCTTTTTGCCACAGTAGTTAAACAAATCATTGAATTTGTTAAATGAGTCATTTGGTTGTTAAGTGAATTAAGCTTCCCCTTTGACATTGCTTGTCAGAAGCCATCAGAGAAGGCCGCAAATGGTGATCACTATAGCCCAGGATGCTGCAAGTGGGATAAATATATGCTGGTTGTCAAACGGCCAAATTTTGATAGTGCGACTGTGGGGCTGCTGCAATGGTCATAAGTATGAGGACCAGTCCTAAGTTACTTTTTTCAGTGCTGTTGTAATTTTGAATGGTTATCACATGAGTGATTGTAATGTTAGAACTATCTGTATTCATTGTGTCCTCAATTATTATATGTGGAGAGATATTTTTCATTAGGTCCAGAGGGGCAGCTGTATTGGCCTTTAGCAGCAAAAATAGCAGCTAGTCTTATGGCACCGTAAAGAACCGAACACTTATTACAGCATAAGTTTTTGAAGTGACCTGTGACCATTTTTTTCATACTTGCCATCGTTGCAGCATCCTCATGGTCAGGCAGTTGGCAACTGACTCACATTTATGACGGTTAAAGTGTCCCAGGATCACGTGTTCACCTTTTGCAACCTTCTGACAAAAAATGTCAATGGGTATGCCAGATTCACATAACCAACTTAACAACTGCCATGATTCAGTTAACAACAGCGTGGCACGAAAGGTCCTCACTTAACAAGTGTCTTGCTTAGCAACATAAATTTTGGGCTCAGTTGTGGTTGGAGGTTGAGGGCTACCTGTACTGTAGAGTTGAAATTTGTAGTATCTTCCTTCCAGTCATAAAGAGCTTGCTAAAATGGTATCTTCCCTTAAAACACTTGCTGGGACAAGTGCTTGTCTTCTCTGTTCCCCATTCTTACATCTCAATTGCCAGGCGGAGGAATGGTCAAAGAAAAAGGGAAGATGTTGCATAGTAAAGCTGTGTTGTTGCATCAGCATCTTCTTGTATTTGGCACGCTTCCCAAACCTGGATAGCTCACCTAGTATTTTTCCCAACTCTTGTTTCCTTTAACATCTGGATCTTAAAAGAAGTCATTGGGGAATGAGTTGGCACAAATGCTGCAGTGTAAACAAAGAGATGGATTCTTAGTATACAGTAGATTTAGTGTTCACGGCTACGTCATTCCTACCAGTTGTCCCGGGAGCTTCACCAATCCATGGCATTCTCCAGCATATCCCATTTCATTATTCTTAGTCATCTGCTTTTCAGTTATGGCTTACAGAGAGGCTTACACTTGGAAACAGCGTTCATGTAATGTCATGGGCTACGTTTACGTCCTGTGAAAAAATTTCCACTTTTGCAGGACAGGACCTAAACCCTAATCCATCCAGTCCCTCAACTTTCTGGAGCAGATAAACGAGGAGGGAGCATTCAGTCTCCCAGATGATTTAAAATCCATAAAAGACAAATAGCAGAGGGTGAAATTACAAACAAACGCAAAGCAAGAACTAAAAAAAAAAAAAAAAAACTGTTAGGAGGAGGTTTTTATGTGTGTGAGTGAGAGAAAGCAAGTTTTCACCTGAAACTGAAAATAAAATGAAGATGCCATTAGATGACTCAGAAAGAGAAATACCAAAGAAAGCATGCCACAATTAAAGAATTGGGAGCAAGTAGCCCTAAAAGCACATTAGTCTTGACCATTTAAAAGCTACCTGCTGAGA